TCAACTGTGACGTAACGAGCCCCCACTCCTCAACTTTAATGCCTGTTATCTAAGCTATTTCTTGTTAATTTGAAGTAAAAAAATATACGTATCTAATATTTTTCTATTATCTGACTGACGGACCAAATATAATTTCTTTTCTTTTACCAGTCGCCATCCCTTTTGGCCACAGTTGTTTAAAGATCTTTATAAATTATATATATATGTGTGTGTGTGTGTTGTGTGTGTATGTGTTGTGTGTGTGTGTGTTGTGTGTGTGTGTTGTGTGTGTGTGTGTGTTGTGTGTGTGTGTGTGTGTGTGTGTGTGTGTGTGTGTGTGTGTGTATGTGTATTTTTTTGTATAATTGCATGTTTTATATTGTGTAATACGCAAATTACAGAATATTTTATTGAATATTTTCTTTTTTCTAAATTTTGGGATTGTTACATTACTGTTTTTCAAATTGTTAAAATTTCTGATTGAAAAGTATACAATTATTAAAGTAATGATAGATACAACACGTACTTGGTACAGTATTCAGTCATCAAGTATATCTAAGTATTAAACTTATAGTAATTTCTTTAAGTTGTTAGGACGTTTACGCTGTATTAAATCCGGGGGTAGTTCGTTAATTATTCGAGGTACGGTGTAACTGGCCGTCCACTCGCCATATATAAGCGTATTTTAATTGAGAAAAAATTGGCATAACTCCACAGTGTTTTAAACATTATCATTTTAACCATAGTTAGCGTTGATTTTCGGTGAAACTATCGTTTTTATAATTCTTATTTGCAGTTTGTATATTTAATTAAGACAAGTTTTGTATGTACGTCCTATATTATTTTGTGAATAACGCAGCTGGTTGCTTAATTAGGATAATTTTGTTAAACCATTGTATTGTACGCAATATTATGTAAATGTTTGTAATTTGGAACACCAAATAAAAATTTAAGAAAAAAATATCTTACCCCTGCAGCAGCAGTGTGAATAGCTTCACTGGCATCGCTCGACAACCACAGTGATCTGTTTCCATCTCCAGCTTCAGCTAGCTGATCGGAACAAACAAATAATGATATTTTTTTTCTCGCCAAGACACCATCTACATATCTATTTAAGGCAAGGCTATACAAAATTATTAATTTTTAAACCAATTTCATTCCGAGGCTCTGCTAGTATTTGCCAAATAAAAATCATTTTATATTAATTAAACACACGATCGATGGCTTGCTGAAAACAGAAAATTCAATTATTGGCTTACTCTAGATAGATTCTTTTGAGCGATTTTATGACTAGTACATTTTATCTTGACTATATAAAAATATATATATACGAAAATAGGTTTGATAGATTCTTTAGATGCTTAAGATCACAAAAAATCCTTTATATTGATTTCTTATATTTTCACGCGCACTATCCATAAATGAAACAACTTTTAAACGGTTCCATCGCGTTTGTATTTAGTTTTATTGACGTTTCGGACTCTTTACAGGTTCCGTGTTCACATAAGTCTTATGTTTAAGAGTTGTTTCATTTAAAAACCTTTTATTATAACTGCTTTTGTTTTTTGTTTCTGTGATTTATGTATGACATTAAGCGAGCCCGTATTTACTCTCGATGCGTTATATTTGAATGGGAAGGTAAGCGGAGGCCTTTAGTAATAGTCCAGTATAACTTGCGGTTGCCTTAAAGAAAGAAAGTAAAAATTGCCCAGGTGATTTAAGAAAACAAAAAGTATTATTAATACTTAGGTGTTCATGCAAATTCATTACCACGTATAATTTTTCTTGTGTTATTACCTAAAAATATAGTTTTGTTATTATCCCTTTACGTGTAAATGCCACTAATGTGACATTAGCGGAATTGTGTAAACGCAAATAGGCCATACATTAAAAAAAGAAGAACTAAAGCGTACAAACTCATAAACAAACGTTGCTTAACTAAGCAAGTGCTCAGTAAGGCATTACCCAACAGGTTTGGTGAAACGACAAATCTGCTTATGATATTCTTAATATTAAGTGATTTCTAGTTAAACTATGATGTGTTCTAGGCTATAACTAATATTAAATTACAGTGTACAATAAAGTATTCGTTCGATTGTTCATTGTTTACCCTTTTGCTCTCACTCACCGCCAACTGCTGCAAATAAGTGACGATCTCATCGTAACCCCTCCCCTCCAGCTGCACCCCCTCATCAGCCAGCTGTTGGACAGCATCAGAAGGCAACTTGCCATCACCCCAGAACAGCACCACAGAATTCGTGGTGATCACCAAATAAGAGAAGAATACAGGATTGTATTCGATGTCGGAACCTCGTAAGTTGAGAGTGTCTAGATAACAAAATAAGCTTTATTAATAATTAAAAGCGCGAATCGGACTCAAACAAGAAGTTTTCTGTATCTAGAAAGAAGAAACAAATCACGTTTGTTGTATGGTTGCCCCCTTAAATATTTATTCCATTCTGGTCTCTAGCATTTGTTGTTGAAGCAGCAACAGAAAAACGAAGATATAAACTGTCTCACTTTCAAGCTTCAGACTTCAGAAAACCAGAGGATCATTTCTGAGTAAATGCATTGCTATGTTCAATAAAGTTCCACAGAATGTAATTGATCTACCCATTAATAAATTTAAAATTCATGTAAAACATACTTATGAGTAAAGACTATTATAAAGTTGATGATTATTTTAAGGATCGCAATGCATGGAATTAATAGCCTTCGCTTTGTTCTATAACGACTAATTATATGTACGACTACAGACTTTGAAAGTTGTATTTATTATTGTGATAATACATATTATTTTGGTAATGACATGATTTATGTAAATGTCATTACTTATGATAAAGAGCTGGTAAGTTTCTTTCGCTTGTTCTTCTTGTCAGCTAAAAGGAGTCCTGTACAAGTGGTAGGGGAAATTAAATTTTTGGACGATTCAAAAGTGCTTGTAATAAGCTTACTTGAATAATGATACGCGTAATTTCATTTCACGTTTCTTTAGATACAGCCTGGTGACAGACAGACAAACAGCCAAATCTTAGTTATAGGGTTTCCGTTTTACCCTTTGGCTATGGAACCCTAAAAATTCAAAATACCAGTCAAGTGCGAATCGGACTCGCACACAAAGCATTCATTTATATAAAAAAAGCAAAAAAATCACAATATCTGGTTGGTAAATTTAATACTAGGTGCACCTATTTCTGATATGTGATACTAGATCCAAATACCTGTTCCACTGTAATATAAGTAGTTCCACGGAGTAACCGGTCTGACTAGATGCCGCTTGATTATAAGTAACCTTATATACAAAGAAATAGGACCTATATTAATTCATATAATTATATATATGACATATTCTCCCTATTCCTCTACTTTCTAGTCTCAAAGTTGTGGAATCTTACTTCCTGTTGTTAAAATTATGAAATGGAGAAAAAACAAAATGACCATGACGCGGATATACCAATATAACCTCAAATATTTCACGGTAAGGTAGAAAATCCTGTATTTCACAAAATATACTAGTTGGAACAAGTATCTATAAAATAATAACAGGTGTCAACTACTATTGCAAAATACTTGATACTAGTATATATTCTAGTAAATACGACTCACCTCTATTTCCACTTTGACTACGCTGATAAAATCACAGGTAAATGAGGGTAGTTTTCGTTATCGAACATGCATCATAATCATCATCATAACCAGCCCTTTTACGTTCCCATTGCAGGGGCTCAGACCTTCCTTATGGATGGTTAAGGAGGATGGGCCATGACCCTCCACGCTGGCCCAATGCGGATTGGAGGGTATTAACCACTGCAAATGCAGCCGGGACCAACGGCTTAACGTGCCTTCCGAAGAACGGAGTAGCTCGTGATAATAATTTTTCGGTCACCCATCCCGTGACCGACCCTTGCGAAAGTTGCTTAACGACTACGATCGCGGGCCGCGGCGCTTATCCACTACGCCACCGAGCTACTCACATGCGATCTCATCTAAAGCTGTGACGACTAAGGCAGCGACATTTTTCTCCGCCATCTTGCCTCTCAACTCTTTTATTTTCTCACCAGCTGGTTTTCCTACAAAATAGTTTTGAAATAACATGATTATATTGTCATTATAGATTCTCTTAATTATATTTTACTAGCTTTCCGCCATCGGCTTCGCCCGCGTGGTCTTGTATTAAACATAAAAAACATTCCTTTTCAATCACCCTATCTATGAAAAAAAAACCGCATCAAGATCCGTTGCGTAGTTTTAAAGATTTAAGCATACATACGGATATAGGGACAGAGAAGGCGACTTTGTTTTATACTCGTACTATGAAGTGATGTGTATTTAAGAATAAAAAGTACTAAAACATAAATTTAATATTTTGTATATGGTTTTGGTCACAGTTCTAACCTAACCTAACCTTACCTTTCCATGTTCATAAAAATTGTAAAACAGAAAAATTAGAAGAATGAAGAAATATTATATGTATCGGCTTTGTGTTGCAGCAATACCTAAGTACACGATTTGCCCACATGGGAAGCAACTCACGGATATTCTACCATAACATATGCTATGAGAAGCATGATACTCCAAAGCGCCAACAATAAAGACCATTACGCATAATAAAAATAAATATAAATTTACAGGGCAGTATATCATCATCGGCCCAGTTACTTTCCTACTGCAGGCCTGAGCTAGACCTTCCTTATGGATGATTATGGAGGATGGGCTATGACCCTGGCCCGATGCCAATTGGTAGGTATTGACGACTGTAGATGCAGCTGGGACCAACGGCTTAAGTAGTTCGAGATAACAATTTTTCGGTCACCCATCCCGTGACCGACCCCTACTAAAATTGCTTCACAACGACGAGCGGCCACTGAGCTACTAGCAGACACGTTAATAGACTAATGATGACGATAACTCACCAGTATACTTAAGCGGTAGGGGTATAATTGGATTATGGTGTAGATAATAATTTTTCGGTCACCCATCCCGTGACCGACCCCTGCGGAACTTGCTTCTCAACGACGATCGCGGTCACTGCGCTACTAGCAGGCACGTTAATAGACTAATAAAGGCGCTAACTCACCAGTATACTTAAGCGGTAGTGGTATAATTGGATTATGTGGTCTATCTGGTGATGGATCATTAAGTTGGATCCTTGCTTCATCAACTAAGTTCTTTGGAACTGCTACCAGCTGCATGTTAGCTTTAGTAAGAGCAGTCTGAAAGAATTTGCACATATAACAAGGGAATAGGGGGCTAATTCTCTAATTTGCAAATCTATCGCAACCCTTTCACTTTGACATTTGAAAGATACCCACGAACTTGTGACTTGTCTCTTTTATGAATGATATTGAATGAACGATATCGTTAATTTAACATTTATTGAATGATTTTACTATATCATTAATTTAACGTTTATTGAAATTGTCTAAAACAAACGTTAGACGCAAATATCCTTGGAAGCTATCGATGAATGTCAAACGAAAGAGTTGTTTATCGACTAGTTCATAGGTAAGTTTATAATATGTTTCTTGATCACTCATTCGTTCCAAAAGCAATAAGGATGATGACTAATTTTTGTTTGTTTGTCCGTCAGGTAGAGTGTTAAAAAATAATTAAACGTATTTTTTTTTTTCGTAATCATAAAATTACGGCGTTACATTGAGTTGAAATTTCGCATGACGTCACGTTATGGTACGTTTTCTACTCAACTGTGACGTAGCGAGCCCCCACTCCTCAACTTTAATGCCTGTTATCTAAGCTATTTCTTGTTAAATTGAAGTAAAAAAAATACTTATCTAATATTTTTCTATTATCTGACTGACGGACTAAATAGAATTGCATTTTTTTTACCCAGTCATCATCCCTATTGCGACTTTAAAGGTTACATAGTTCCATAAATAACTATTTCATACCTATACCTTTAAAAGGGCTCGTGATAGATTTTGATTTTAGACAATTTAGGTATTTGATAGCAAAAAAAAATATATTAAAAATTGTGATTGTGATAATAATGCTAAATAAGACATATCTCACTTTATTTTAAATGAAATGAAATAATATATATAATTATTTCAGATTACACAAAAAAAAATTTTTTTTACATTATATCTGAGACGAAAACTCCTTGTAAGTCGTTGCATGTCTGATGACGTCACACGCTAGTAAATATGGCTTTCCGTTGACATTTTCAGTTTGATGAGGTGCGTTTATTTACTTCCCCGAAATATTAACGTAATGTGCTTATTATGTAAAAAAGAATTATTTAAAACAATTTTTAAAAATCAGTTAAATATCCTGTTAGGACCAAGCTTTGAATAAAGAGTGTTAAAAGTTTACTTAACACGTTAATTTTCATTTAATCATTCATCTACACTAATATTATACTTATAATATAATAATTATACTTATTAAGAGAAAATAACAAATAAAGTTTGCTCTGATATTGGACCGATTTAAAAAAATCCTTTCACCTACGGGAAACTATATCATATGCGGTGGTCATAGGATATAATTTACACCAGCAATCGATCGCCGAACAGAAACAATTACGCACAATGTCAAAGTCAAAATAATCTTTATTCAAATAGTCTTTAAAGTACTTTTGAATCGTCCAACATTTTTTCCCTACCACTCGTTCAGGACGTCTTTTGGCTGATAAGAAGAACGAGCAAGAAATTCACCAGCTCTAATAGGAGTAATGACATTCACAAAAACCATGTCATTACCAGATCAATATATTATAAACAGAGAGAGAAGAAAAAAAAAATAAATAAAGAGAAAAAAGCTATGGTATTATAATGATAACATAATCATTTAATAATAATGGAAACAAGATAATGAGTTTAGAAGTAATCACCTATCCAGTTGCTGGATCATCTCAAGTCCAAGCGTTCTTATCTGTTATATAATCGGATACCTTATAATAAGCTTTTTTTTTAATGATCCTGCACTACATATTCTCATCTCATTCTTGCGCAAAACTATCGCTGTTAGGCTCGCACAGATGCATCCAGACAATTTTATCATAGTAAAGTGAACCTGAAATGTTTACGATATCTGCCAGCAGGCACAAAGGTCATACAAAATGTTCTCCGTTCGGCGACCGGACTATATATATAGTCTGTTGATAATATCACCTGCAATGGACTCCATGTTTCCCTTGACATGACGAACGGATCGACACCAACAGTGGCGCCCTCTGTAAGATTGCTAGTCAGCCATTTCTCCATTGTGGGAGTGTCTGGTAAAGCTGTAAATAATGAAGTTGCAATATGCAATATGATATGAAGACAGTGTATTGGTTGAAGTAGACAATTTGAACTATAATGTAAAAAAGATTATCTTTAAAAATATGCATTTGTCTTAATGAACTGTTAATTTACTTAAATTAGAGTATACTTATAATTTTCTGAAATGTGATTATAAAATATGATTTTTAACTGAACAAATTAATTTATTGTCAGAAAAGAACTAAAAAATAATATTGTCGCTTGTCCGGCTGTTAATAAGAAAAGCTAAGTTGAGTAGTCTTACTGTAAGATAGTTGCTTATCTTAGGAGCATTATTGTTCGAGACGCGATGGCGAGTAGACGTGTATTAGTAAGAGTGTGAAAGTGTGGTTGAATCTAAAAATCTAAAATAGTGCAATGAAAAGAGGACCTGGCAGTTCCTGCCTGATGTACAGATTATCTCATGCATATGATTTTCGTTCTAGAACAAATAGAATAGACCCTCAGGTGTTATGTTAATTCGTACAAAATATATTTCACTTACATTGTTTCATCAGGGTCCATATAACAGGATCGGTTTCCTTCTCAAACTGCGTGTAATATCTACCATCTGTCCACACAAGGGCCGCGGTGGCTGTCACGACAGCTGTTCCAGCTGAACCTGTGAACCCTGACAACCATTCCCTCCTGGCGTCCACCGGAGCTATATACTCAGACTGTAACAACAAGAGGGGTAAGTCGTTGATTACTTAACGAGTAGGGTGAGAGAGTGGTAAGTCGTTGATTACTCAACGAGAATTACAGAAATGACCTTTAGGCATTTGCGCAAATTGACCGGTCACCAATTATGTGGTGAAAGAGGGGTAAATCATAGATTACTCATTGAGTCTAATTTTATTACTCATTGAGTAATCCAAGACATATCCCCCTCTCACCACATAATTGGTGATCCATCATTTTACGCAAATGCCTAGCGCAAAGCGCCGCATAACGAATGTCATTACTTTTGACATTGCTTAATGTCATTAGATGATTCCTAGTCATTCGCCAGATTTCGGCGACTCCTAAATTCAATGAAAACAAGCATAAGTTATTGATTACTCAACGAGTTGTGGGTGAGGTGAGTGAGAGGTAAGAGAGGGGTAAGTCTATGATTAATCAACGAATGTCAGAAACAAGTGGGGTGGAATGGGTGAAAAATAAGTTAAAAGTGAATTTAAAAAAGTTTAATTGTAATAATAACGTTTGTTTTTCAGTTGATTTAATAGGTCAAATCTGATATATAATAGATACCTCCATCCTGTTGATCGATTAATTTATTTGGTAGGTACCAGGGGTGCGTCCGCTTAACTCTCTAGCCATGACATAGGATACGACGTCTTAGCAATATTATGCCGATATTTCATTTTATTTACTTTATTGGGTGAATGACTAAGTTCCTAACACTACTATCATATCCATAATAATCGTTCTTTATCATTCGTTTGTCGTTGCACGTCCGACAAAACTGTCAAATTTCGCCACTCGATTTTAACCTTGATATATTGAAGGTAGAGGTCATAATCCATTGTAGAAATTTGATTTATTGTAGTAACCAGACGTGCAGAGTAAATGTGACACCAGATCACCAGGTTCTTAGCTTTGCTTGGGTTCTTTTCGAGAAGGAGATGTTTTAAAACTAGTTAAAGTAGTCTTATTTGATAATTTAATGATGCCTAATCTTTAGTGTTATTGTAATGATGACTCGGTAAATAAACGAAATTCTATCAGATAATGAAAATAAATAAATATTAGACACAGTGGCGGACTAACCCCTTTGGGGGCCCGGGACGGCAAGCGCAAAGTTCAGGAGTGGGGCTCGCTACGTCACCACTATGTAGAAATATGTGATGTTACGTGACGTTGAAATTCGTCAATGCTTTTAGGTTCTGGGCAGCTCAGTGGTTAGAACAGTCTCCCGGATTCGAGTCTCATCAGCCAGAGCGGGGCCATTAGCATTTGCTACCACCCCACCTACCTCCCGAAACAGAAAAGTCATCTTTACTTTCCGAATAACAAAACAACTAATCTGTGACTTGAGTTTTATTTATCAGTTTATGTTCATAAATATTAAGAAGCATGGGGTATTTTATTGGCTCTGAAACATAGCGAGGCTCTCAATCGCGCGGGGCCCCCAAACACGCGAGACCCGCAGCATTTGGGGCCGTCCATTAATCACGTGATGTTATATCCAGGTATTTGAACTCCCACTTGTGATATTTCCTGTTTTCTTACGGATCTTCCCCTCTTTCGAGCCTCACGTGATCAATGAAAAGTCCCTTTACTACTTTTGCTACGTGGCTAACCCGGTCCTGATCATCTCTACTGAAACTTACATTGTGGGCATCGGCTGTAGGCACTATATAAGCGGCGAGGGCCGTAGGCTGGCTCGCCATGAGCGTGCGCAACGCCGTCAGCTTCTGCAACGACATCTCGCGACGATCTACAACAATATTAACATATTGAATATACGTAGGTCTTGCAATTATGATTTCGCTGAAATTTTACATACAGGTTTAGTTCAAATTAGCCTAATTGTCTAATTTTAAAATCTATCGCAACCACTTTGACTTTGACATTCGAAAGATATTCACGAATTTCACGCTACAACTAATTGAAATGACAAGTTTTTTTAGAAAGATATTGTATGAACGTTTATTTGACGTTAATCGTAATTGTCTAAGCAAAGTGAAGATAGAACGAAATTAATTGTCTGATATGACATTTATATCAATTAAATCATCATTCGTTTCAAAAGCGATTGTAAGTTTAGAAGTTACACAATTCCATAAATCACTATCCCAATTGCTATACGATTGAAAGATATTGTGATAGGTTTGAAAATTAGACCCCAGACCAGAGCTAGTGTCAAGAGGGCGCCAAAATCGTCATAATACGGTTAAAAAAGAACTAGCTCCACAAAAAATGGCTTTTACAGGCTACGATGCGACGCACATTTTTTCGAAGTCGCTTAATGAAATATGAGAACAAAATCGCTACAAAACAAAAACGTAGTATATAAAATTTGGGCTCACCGTGAGGCCTGGTTCAAATTACAATAGAGAAATAGTTATGTTTACGCCATTTACTATGGTCATGGTTTTTATATTCATTAATAAAGAGACATATGAAATTGATCAATATTATAAAATAATAAATTTAAATAATTAGTATTTTGTGCGGTTCTTCCGTTGAAGGACATCCTGTCCTTTTCTTTCCTTGCCCCTCCCATATCTCCGTCCTTGTCACTCGCCAAATACGTTCGCCGCAAGGGCGCGCTGATAGAAAAAGATCGGTTCCGGTTTTGGAGGCATTCGACGTAGAAGATTTTCGCGAGTGCTCCGAATTGAAAATTAATATAGGCGACATTACTGCCTCGGAACTCATATATAAACCTGTGAAGTATCTATTATACATGTGTAACAAATAAAGGTGTTGTGTTTGTGGCCACAAAAAACTCAAGTGCAAGTGAAAACCGCTGATCGGCGTGGACTCGCCAACCATATATATCGAAGGACAATTATTAAAATTATATTGGTGAGTTTCCATTCCCATTTCTCATCGCCTTCTCGAACCAGCGCGAACAAGTTAAGGTACAATTTTTAAATCTACTTGTATTATGGGTGTCGTAAATTACTAATACGCTGGATGCCCATGTCTAATAAATAACACCCGAGTGACATGATTTGAAAATATAAATTATAGATAGCACAAAATGCAAGATTTGAAATATTTATAAATAGCCCATAAAATATATTTTTTATAATAACAAAATAACTTTTAATTCGTTAATTTATTGCAAAAAATTTCGAAAGGGTTATGGAAAACAAAAAAAAATTAAAAACTTTGTAATAACGCGATAAAAAAATGAAAGGGCATTTAAAACATCGCCAAAAGTAATTATGAAGTGAGAGATATTTCTTTTTAATGAAATCAGGTTTATTATTTGTGAAAATCATAATAGCAGTTGCTTTTTTAGTCAACTACAAGTAACAACAAAACTTAACAATGACCAATGGCGTAACTACAGGGCAGCAAGTCGGCAAAATGCCAACTGGAAGGAGCCCCCGGTCAGAGGAGACTCCTTACTCCTGCCATTTATTATTACACTATTAGTAAAAAAAAACAAGAATACCCGATGAATATGCCGCGGGCCTCAAACGGTATAGTTACGCCATTGACAATAACAATCGAAAACAACAAAAACATAGCAAATATTGTGTGTACGTCAAGTGTTTATTTGTACTGCGGTTCAGTAGAAATCCAGACCCGAATTCGAATTCTCTTATGTATTCGAATTCAAGTAATTTAGCAAAGAAATTCTATTGACTCCATTTTTTGTATAAAAATACAAAACAAAGTTGATTGAATATACGCGTCTCAGATATTCTATTCCTATGTCATTACGAAACTCACTTCACTTATGCCACGAAACGTTATTGCCAATGAGGAAGTATTTAAAAATAAAAAATTAGTTCCCGAAATCAAACTAGATGGCGCTACGGTACGTTCTTGATTTCTCCATGACGGCCCTTCCGGTTTTCTTTCATGTATAAAAGTAAATTAGTTTTCAAAACTCAATAAACAACTCATATTCTATTTGTACTTTTTCGTGTTTGTATTTGATATATAAGTTTCAACCTTTTTAAATTTAATTTTTTTTATAGTTAAAAGGAACAGAATGACTATCTTTGGTCCACCCGTTTCCTGCCATTCGTCATCTAGTGAGGTGCTATTTAATGCTTTCTTTTTTTTTTCTTAAAATACTTCCTCATACAAGGTTGTGCGGATGCCGCTTTTTGAAGTGATTTCTGGCACCTGAGTGAATTCGAATTCGAGTTTGAATTTTTACAGAATCGCAGGGCTGATTGTTGAACGCAATTACATCAACAAAATGGCGGCCAGGCGCATTAGCAATTTGCGACGATTATATGCGAGACAATGAAATGAGTGACACCAGCACACATATATCCAAGACAATATCATAAAGTCCATTTACAGCATTAACCCGTGTCCGATAATCGTCTGAGACCACAGATTTGGCTGTATCTTGCAACTGCCGAGTCCCACGATTATGGAGGTTGCCAAAAGCTTTTCTACTACTAAATCACTCTTAAAGACATACACACCGCTGATTCCGATTGAAGTTTTCGACGCGGCACCCCTACCATTCACCGCATTGACAATGCAACTGGAAAAGAAATTAAATTATATAATAATTTGTTTCCGTAAGTATATAAAAACAGGTCAAGCGCGAGACAGACTCGCACACAAAGAGTTCCGTGCCGTTTTCAATGAAAAATCACTATTGTTGTATGAGAGACCTCCCTTAATTACTTATTCTATTTTTTGTTGAAGCTGCAACAAAAATACATCATCTGTGAAGATTTCAACTGTCTAACTTTCACGGTTTATATACAGCAATACGGCCTAGTGACAGACGGACAGGCAGACAGACGAACGGATAACGGAGATTTAGTATAAGGTTTCCCTTTTTATCCTAAAACTCATGAAAAAAATTGATATCCTTACACAAATAATTTATCGTGGCCAAGTTTGTAACTTTGTTTGCAAACTGCCAAAATACTGATCCGATCATGGTTTACCGATTATTGTATTGGGTCACCACTTTACTGAAATGTTATGTGTTTTATTTATTAGTATATAGGTTGATATTTAACTCATTGATAAGTTTACTATCTGACTCTATTTATACGAAGGATCGGTAAAATAAATAAACGTGTTCACAGTTATGAGTTTACTTTCAGACTAGTTGATGTTGAAGTGCCACTTACAAAATACAAAATATCATAGATTACGTTGCCACAGAGTGGTCGACAAAGATTATAAAACAGACGTGCCACATTGGATATTCTTTCATCTATCTCGCATCTGGGTGTTGTGGTACCTTCGTTGTCTCAGATACGGAGGCTTTAGCTGCTCATCTTGGAATCTGAGCACTGTACATGATATCGTCTAATATTTACTTAAGGGGAGAGGAGGTGGAGGAAGTGACATTGGAACAATATTTAAAAAAAATTGTATGGACAAACTGATAGAGGGTTTCAAATTCTTAATTTCGTGTGAAATAATTTATGGACCGCCCCTAATGAAATATATAGGGACAGCCCCCTCTTAATAAAGAAGGTTAATAGAAAGCTACGCACAAACTGGTGATATTTGTCGTAACTTGTTGTTTGTGTCACCACGCTCGTATTATTTGTATACAAGTCATATGTACGCAATTGTCGCGTCGCACTTCAAAGTTGTCGAAAGAAAACAAAAAGTCACGTTCATAAAATGTTACGAGTGCGGGCGAAACCTAATAAATTAATGGAATTAACTGGCTTATTCATATATTGAACTGCAGGCCAATAGGTTTGTGTCCTAAAAGTGAAAATACAGGTTTCTGTTATAAGTCCGGAAAATATGGATCATTTTGTCAGTTGGAACACCACAATTTAATAATTAATAAAGAAATTGATTTCCAAATTAGTGAAGCACAACCTTGCATGTAAAAAGGAGTCAAGTGACAGAAATATAAACGTTACCTTGTATGTAGACGATGGACTTGGTGCTACTACTACTCAAGCATTGATTGATAGTTTTTTTGAAATCAAGAGAATTTTAAAATAATCACAAAGCCACTCAGTTATTTTCTCGGTATTGAGATTGTAAACAGAGAAGATGGTTTGTTAATCCATCAGGCATCATACATCAAGAAAATCTTACATAAATTTAGAATGCAGGATTCAAAGCCTTTATTAACTCAAATAATAAAAGATTGCTCCACAAATAAAGGAAAAGAAGGATCAGTATTTTCTTGAGTGCTATAGACAAATAGTTGGATATCTAGCTTATCTAATGGTCGGAAGTAAACCAGACATTGCCTATGCAGTAAGTGTAATTTCCAGAAATTTGAAGGAACTAACTCAAGTTGATGTGGTGAAATTAAGTCAGTGCTACTTGCAATACACTGTAGACATGGTATACATATTTCATAAAAGAGATTATAAAAAATGCATTATAGAGTGTTACAGTGATGCAGACCATATCGACGGTATATGTCCTGGGATATCAACGACAGGAGTGTTATGTCTATATGCTGGTGGATCAGTCTCATGGTTAAATCGATGACAAACCAGTGTTGCCTTCTCAACAGAGGCTGAGATTGTAGAAGCCAGTGAAGCTGAGAGAGTGTGTCTGGCTAACCAGATTGTTTGGCGGCTTAGTAGAGCTGCAGCATGTACCGGTACTACAAGTTGACAACGAAGCTGCTTTGAGATTAGCCGAGAATTTGGAATTTTATCGCCGAACTAAACATCCGTCTTAGACATTTCTTTGCCAGAGAGCTGGTTCTACAAAGAAACTTGGTGGTCGACAAAGTGTCAGCAGAGCCGCAATTAGCCGAAATACTAACAAAACCTTTACTTCGACTAAGATTAGATAAGCTGAATAATCTTATAGGTTTGCGGGTTTCCAAAGAGAGAAGATAATGGAGTATACTCTTTTACGTTGAAAATCTTCTTGGAAAGTTTATAGTTTTAATTTGATAACGGAGTATTAAAATTCTTCTAAGCTCTGTTCTTCTTGATG